CCCGTTAGTAGGATAAAATACTATTCCATTGGATGGAACGTTTGAAGCTTCGGAAGGTGTAACCAATCCTCCAGGCGATTTGATTCCATTTGGGATTCTGTTGAAGCCTGGTCTTCCCAAGAACTCTGGGGGAACCATAGGAGGAACATGATGCCGTGGAAGATTGTTGGATGGTGGAATGTTATGACTATTCGCACCAGCTCTCGACCTATAGTCTGGCAACTGAAAAGATAAACAATATCTTCTTTTATTTGCTCCAATACACTTGAATAAGATTAGTGTCTTGATGAATATGTTATCACACAGTAGTGTGTCCCATGTGGTCTAGTGGTTAGGATTCGTGGTTTTCACCCACGCGGCCCGGGTTCGATTCCCGGCATGGGAAGCTATGTTTTTATCATTTTTTTGGTTTAATAACTTACTTTAAAATCTTCTAACCGAGAGTAGTAAGAGCCTTGTGGGTCTGTTTCAGTTCTTTGAGATCTTGAAGTGATGTTTCGTTTGTTAGCGATAGGTGTTTTCCATTTGGGATCAACAGATAGAGATAAAGGAAGGAAAACAACAAAAAGGAGAAGTGAGCATATGCTCTTGAATATATGCATAGTATCACTTATAGAATAACAGTAGAAGAATCATTCAATTGAATTGAAACGAATAGTTTTGAGAAGCAGGATTGGAGTTTTCAAAATTAGAAATGTCACTGGATAAATATAGGAGAATATGGAAATGTTCGAAATAGACAATAGTTGTTGTGTCGGAAATAGAACAGTTAAATGAGGAAAGATGTCTATCTTGTCTTCTATTAAAGACCCTCAAGGCATGAAGAATATGTTCATACAGCTAGATGATGGTTATACCGCCTTATGAAGAGATAGACTCTCATCGATGCTTCGGGTCTCTCTTAGTTAAAGATCTCAACTGTTCTCGCCCATTAGCACACTCCATTTCTCTGGTAAAGATTGAAATTTTGTAAACTCTCGGCTTATTTTTTTTATGAAAAGAAGAAAGAAAACGAAAGATGTGATGAGGTTAAAGTAATGTTCATTTCACTTCGTTATGACACCCAAATTCGCTTGACATAGATAAGTCAGACTTACTTTATCTAGCGTCTCTTCCTTTCAAACACTCTTTCTCATGATCTTTGACAGTTTATATCTGAAAGGAAGATTCTAATCTATAATATTTCAAAATTTTATTTAATTATTAAAAAGAAAATTTGAATATGGAAATAATCCTCGGGTTCATAACGTTTGAGATTGGTTAGTTGGTTGGTTGAGCTCAAGCGCGGTCTCATATGAGTTGGCAGATTGAAAGTTGAAACATCCCATTATGGTTCAGCGTTCCATAAAAGTTCATTCCCTTCTTAATGGTAATGTTAAGGTTTTGAGGAAGTTTAGTTTCATTGTTAGAAATATTCTGTTAGATGTTAGCTTTTCTTTCCCACAATTGGCTCGTTTAGCTCCAATTTCACGACGCATCCATCTGGTGCATATTTGGAAAATTGAAGCAAACGACTGCCTTGTCTCAGAAATTCAAGTGAGATAAAGAAAATTTTTTGTTGAACTTTCGTATTTCTTCCTGTTGCGAGAGAATGAAAGAGAGAGAGAGAGAGAGGGAGAGTGATAGTAAGAGAGAGAGAGAGGAAAAGAGAATGAGGAATAAAAAAAAAAATTCTTTTTCATCGTCTTCTTCTGCATTATTGAAAGAAGAAATAGCGTTTTTTGATTTTCTTCCTTTTTTCCAGAGAGGAAGAGAAAGACATGTATGCTCGTGGAGAAACATCTATGGCAGCAGTGAAGGTATGGTTCTTTAAGCTTATCTGGTAGTTGCTGAGTGATTGTTGATGTTGAGTTTCTTCCAATAACAACTACTTGGCCTCTCAAAGTTTTAATTGAAATTTGTTTTGAATTTCCTGAGACTTAACGATGTTAAGCCTTTGTTAAGAAGAGCTTCCCCTTTTATTTGGGAAACAATCAAATGATTTGCTTCTGACAATGCCCAATTGGATTTCATGTAAAAAAAAAATTTTTTTTTATTTAAAAAAAAAAAAAAAAAAACGAAAAAATTGTTTCCTCCATCCTTCATTGCAAATGGGCAGCACACAAGGTGTTAATCTCTTTTTTTGATTTAAACGAAAAAAAAAAGGATGGAAAAGACGAAAAATAGACGATTCACCTGCAGAGCTATAAAGTTTTGAGAAAGAAGAGAGAAAAAGAGATAGAGAGTGAAAGAGAAAAAGAGAGAGAGAGAGAAAACAGATAACAAACCGACAGCATCAAGGCCCAGAAGAACACATTGCTTTCCACTGAGGTCCAAAGTCGCTTCCTCTCTCCAACTTCTTTTTTTTTTCTTCTGTTCTGTTATTCTTCTTTCCTCAACTTGCTCTGCTGTGTTAATAGTCATCTGTTGTGACTAATTACTCATTTGCCACATCCATATTGTCATCACCTTGTAATCACAAAACAACACAATCACTTTCTATACTCATCTTATACTCTGTGATACTCCTCTCTCAGCTTTGCAATATAGCTTGACCAATGGCAACTGAAGCCGATCTATTCTATACAGATGAAGTAAGTTCATTCTTAATTCTTCTCCTC